TGGGTACAATCATCAACAGACGCTAGTGTCCATTTCGTTGGGCCCACCGTGGCGACAGAGGATTTGCTGGTGATGGGGTCTGGATTGTATCGACTTTCAAAAACCACGTGTGGCTCGTGTTACTTGACAGGGACATTTTCAACTGGGGTTAATGGTATTTTGCACGTGCAACTGTACCCAATGTAATCAATCATCAATTTTGTCATTAAAAAAAAAGAGAACAAAGAGTGAAAAACCCAATCTTAAAATTAAAAATTAAATAAAAACCTCAGAAGAAGCGAGTTTTCATTTTTTAACTAAAATCATTAATTATTGATAACCAAGTAATGATTAATAATTGATGATAATTGTTTTTATTATATTAATTAATGAATTTGAAATTTGGATTGTTGTCTTGTAGTTGATTTTTTTTTCTCCATTTTTCTCAAATAAGAGAAATATTTTGAATTGCTCCAATGGAATCAATTCTGCCAATACAATCATTGATATCGTCATAAAAAACAGAACATAAAAAAAATTGAAATTAAAAATTGAGTAAAAAACTGACAGAAGGAAAGAAAAGAATTTCTATTTTCATAAATGAAAAAATCATCAGTTATCAATAATTAAGTTTTCAAATTCTGATTGTTCTCTCTTGTTTAAATTTTTCTTCTCACTATTTTTCTCAAATTAAAAAAAATATAAAAATGTTGTGACAATTTCTGCGAGTAATTTAATCCGTTCACGATTCCCCAAACAAAAACAGGTTTGTCAGTAGTGAAAAACGCACAAAAACCCGACGAAATAAGAGAAAACATCCCCGGAATGCATACAAAAGTATAAGAACTCGTCAAAGGCGTGTAAAGTTACATTTCTTTCGCCGAAGAATAAGAAGCCTCCGACTTCTCGAAGATGCTTTACACATTTTTGACACCCCGACAAAAAAAAAGCCCCAACCACAAAAAAAAATTTGAATAGAGTTTGAAAAAGTTGCTCGTCCACGTGTCTATTAATAGATAATCTTGGGAGGGATAAAAAAACTGAAACCTCTCAGGCCCTTCGAGAAGGAAAAAAAACAAATTCTTGAGGCTGAAAAAACCGCTGACCACGTGCAACCGCACGTGATGTCGTGGGAAACGTAGGAAGTTGTGATATAAAAAAATGGAGAAAAAAGTTGGGCCGTGGCTTATTAGGGCGTCCCCGGTGACTGAATCCCTCCACTCAAGGATTCTATGATTGAAGTAATGTGTGGAGTGAAAAAATGAGGGGGAAAAAATGGAAAAAAGTGTGCCTTTTCAATGTGCCGCCGCATTATGTCTTCGCTATTGCTGTTCTCCTTGAATAAACGGATTTTCGGAGACTCAAATGACGTTTTCAATCCATATTTCTCCACTATTTCTCATATTTCAATTAAAACAACGAATTAAATTCATTTTTTTTGCATGAAATCGAATTCTGACTGTGAAGATTTTTTTTGGAGTTGACTGTTTAAAAACTGAAATTTTTTTCCATTTTTTAACATTTATTTTTCAATTTTTTAAAAGAGAAAAATATGTATAATAATCCACCTTTGGATGATGACGTTAAAATTTTTATCGTCGAGTTTTGGAAACAAATGTTATCTTCAATTTATCAGTATTGTAATAAGTTAAAGATGACAAAAATTGAAGACAAAAATTTTTCAGATTGGTTTTTAGTTAAAAAAATCAATGAATCGTCAATACGAGAAAATAAGAATGATTAAATTATGAAATTCTTGATATCTCTATAATCATATCTCAATTATATCAATTTTTCTTTGATTTTCTTAAAGTGTCCGAATAAAAAATAATAAAGTTGATGTAATGTCGCACATACACGGAAAAAAATACTTGAATTGAGTATAAAATATATTTTATACTCAATTAAAATATTTTTTTTCCCGTGAATTAATGAAAAAAAAATTTTTTTCCTTCATGTGATGAACTTGATGCCTGATTTAAATAATTACCTCCGTCCTAGAGTTTAATCTCATGAATATACGAGGAATATCAAAAGATGATACATTAGGGTTTCACTTGATTAACAGCTCCCCGGGCCCCCCCCCCCCTCCCACCAGTAACACGATATTTACCTGTTCACTGCAATTTGAGAAGAAATGGTTTCTCCTAATTTGAGTTTGTTCCGATGAAATTCGATACTTGAAATGAATTTACGAGGCACCCATGATTGCGTTCAAATTTCGTGCCTTGATTATTTTTCCCCCTTTCTCTTCTCGGTTACCTTTCGTTTTTCAATCGAGTGTGTTGGGAAAAAGGGAATTAATCGAAGGTGAAACTTTCATTGGGTTTTATAGGTGGGGAACAATGGGATTGGATGTGTTCGATAATGAAATAGGCTTTTATTCACTCTTGATGATGGGAGGTTCCTGTGGGAAATGGAGATTTTTTTTCTGACAGTGTGAGAATAAATTGGAAGTTTATGGGTTTTGTAGTGAATTTTAGGAGAGCGATATTGCGTTCGATTCGGGGGAAAAAAATAATCAATTTTCGATTTTTTCAACTGCAAAAAGACAGGAATTCCCCAACTTACTTGAATATTTAGTCAATTGAAAATTCAAGAATATATTTAGCAGAATTGTCCTGATTTCTTGCAATTTTCGTGGAATAATTGAACTGAAATTTACAGTTTTTTAAATTTTCACATAAAATTGTGAATTTCTCGAACGAAATTCTTTGAAATTCCAAACTGACACTTGAGAAAAATTTCCAAAAAGTGTACTGGAAATTTCAGCCAACAATTAAATATTAAAAATTGCATTGTTATTCGACTAAAAATTCTACAACTGTAGAAATTTGTACAGCCCAGGGAAAGTTTTAATTTTTTGTGTCCCTCATGTGATAGATTTATTACTGAATAAAAATTGATGAAACTAGACATTTCAATATTCTTTTGATTGATTAACACGCACATGTGGGCCCTCCCAGCGTAAACTCCACGATTTCCCTATGAGAAATCCCCCGTCGTCCCCATAACAAATCGCTTCATTCGTTGAAACAACAAACCGATATTTCATAAACTCCCGAAATTTCCATATTAATCTCCCAACCGACCGCCGACCTGACGATTCAAAGGAATCTCCAATAAATTAAACCCCCCGAAAAAATGATCCATCGAAAATCCGTGGGGTTTCTCCCGAAAAAACCTTGAAACACTTACTCCGAATCAATAACTCCGTTAATTATTCCCTCAGCAGGTATCCCCCTCACTCTCAAAACCCATCACTCTTCGTCTCCCCTCGATCGTTCCACATCTCCTAAAAATCTAAACTATGTATTCCAGATCGAATGTCGATTGGTCGCGATTCCCTCAGCTACCGCACTTACTCAAAATGAGATCTAGACTAGTAATTTTCAAAAGAGTGGCGTTGAATTCCATTGAAGAGTAAAAATTAATAAAATTTCATATTTCCCTGAAAATTTTAATGAAATTAACCTTTTTCATTGATTTTTCTTTGATTTTTAAATATTATGAATATTCAATCACGAAATGCGTTAAAATTGTAAATGTATAAAATACCACTACACACACGAAGAGAAATATTCAGTAAAAATTACAGAACTCACAATTCACTCACCGATTACGGAATCGACACAGAAAATTTGAGTGACGGTATCGTAATTTTTGCACAGGAGATTAAGATAAAAATTACGGAACGCTCTGGAAAAATTCCGTGACAGCTCCGTAAAATGTCCTACAAAAACCACATTTCGCCCAGGAATTACGGAAAAGATACATAATTTTTATTGAATATTTCTCTCCGTCCGCCCTCACTTCGCCTAAAACTCTATTCCAGATTGAATGTCCATTGGCCGCGGATTCCCCCCCAGCTACCGCACTTACTCAAAATGAGATTTCGCGAAACATTATCTCCACGCACCTGCTGAGCGCCTTTTTACAATTTTTTTTACTCCATCTCGATGTTTCATCATGGAACGGAAATACCAGCGAGAGATGATTGGAGGACAAGAGGAGAATATTATACCCGTCATGCGTAATGTATTGAGTGACGTGGCCATTTTCAGTTTGAACTCAAATTACATTTTTTTCACGGGGGGAGGGNTTAGGGGAAAGAGAAGATTTAGAAGAGGAAAAATAATGAAAGTTCAGATTTCGCTGAACATTCAAGGAAATTTCATATTGTTGGGCAGTAAGAAAATGAGAATTCCACAACTTATTTAAATTTCGTACAAATACAGGAATATATGGTATCAAATATCAATCTTCGAGGTCCAGTGAAATTCGACTGGACAGAGCAGGAAGCATCGACAATAAGATTTTTTTCCTCCAATTTTTTGTTAATGCGAGTAATCTTCGGCGTCGATTCCTAATCCCCACATCCGGTCTGGGGGTCCAGGGACCCCCGGGTAGATTTTCCGGCATTGTGAGTCGTGTGTTCCGTTTCTGGTGATGCGTCTCGGTGAGTAGAACACCCGAGTGACGTTATAAATGAGTCACGATGAAGGAGACATGAGAGGGATCGTGATCCCCTGCTGTCAACTGTTTTTTCGGGGCTCGTTAATTCCTTGTGGTACTAATATGTCAGGATCGTTAAGACACGTTTTCCGAGGGTTCCTCGGGTATTTTAATTGGTTTCAGGGAGAAAATATGCGTTTTTCTCTTGCGTTAGGGAAAACAGAGGATGGAGTGAGTCAACGTAATTTGTAGGTGATTTTCTTGGGACGAAAATTAATAGGCAAATCTAAAAAGTGAAGATAAACCCAGAGAAGTGATGTATTTGGATCGAATGAAAATTTATGTTTGGAATTTTTCTATTTAGTCAACAGTAGTTTTGTTGGAAATTAATATTTTTTCGTGGGATTTGATTTAACTAGAGTTTATTTAATTAGAATGAACCGTTTTTTTAGGAGAATGAAACCCCTTTGCCTAGAGTTCTTCGGGTATTTCAGTCGGTTTAGGGGAGAAAATGTTCATTATTCTTTTTCGCTAGAGAAAATAATTAATTTATAAAAATGACTTACCCAAGAAGCAAAGATCTGCTTTTAAAAATAAACGAGTGGAGTTGATCAACGGTAGATCAAGACAGCTCGTAGATGATGTATCCTGCAAAAAAAAATTCTATCATGAAAATAAACTCTTCAAATGAATTTATCCACAACAAACCTATTTTTCTTCTACTAAATACAGAGATAACAATTTAACACTAAATAGTCCCTCGGAATTAACACTCGACCCTCAGTAAACCGCTGAATGAAAATTGTATACATGTCTTCAGACGTCGAAAACTGATATCACTCAAAAAAAATTTCAAATCAATAAATTATTATTGAATAATTACGAAGGCACTTGAATTAATCTCTTCGTAAAAAAAAAACTCATTAAAATAAACTCTTCAAATGAATTTATCCCCATCAAACCTATTTTTCTTCCACTAAATACAGAGATAACAATCTAAACACGAAATAGTCCCCCGGAATTAACACTCGTCCCTCAGTAAACCGCTGGATTGCAGCGTAAACTCCTCACAACGGATAAGGGCGTCAGTCCCTCAAGGTTAAGAAAGCACGCGAGTATCTCACCTAAAAAAGAAGGAATAAAAATTGTATACATGTCTTCAGAATGTGACTGGGCCCTCGGACGAGCCCCTTTGACACCCCCGTCGGGCCCCAAACAAGCCCGAGCTAAATGTTATGTGAGGGAGATGGGGATGCCTCGGGTAAACCATAACAACAGCGGAGGCCCACAATGGAGACTCAGAACGCCAAGGGGACAACTGGATTTTCCGTTCGCTGGGCAAACACAAGCAAACATGGGCGTCGGGGTGCCTTATTTCTTATTTCTTCCTTTCTAGCTGGCAATACTCGTATATTCCAGTGCCTCGGGCATTGTCGAGAGAACGAGACTTTTCTGTTATGCTGAGTTATGAATAACCCGAGTGATCTCAATGCGGTATTGTATGGATTTATAGCGCACTGAGCGGCTAGTTTACAGGGACATGTGTAATGCTGATCATGTAAAGGGGCGCAGAATGGATTGTTTCAGAGAGAAATATTCAGTAAAAATTACGGAACAATTCACGTAATCCGCAATGGGGAATCGTTTTCCGGCAATTTTTGGGGGAATGGAAGAGAAGAAATCTAAATCGTTCAGTGAATTTTCAGATTCATCACCGAACAAAGTACGAAATTGTCGTGTAATTTTTCCCGAAGAAGTTAAATCTTACAGAAACTTGCCGACTTATTGTGCCTCCAAAATAAAAAATTCTTGAACGTTCAACAATTTTTATGAAGCTGGTGAGTTATTTCTACGTTCCGTTCCGTAAAATTTCTCAATCGTCGGGCATTGTCGAGAGAACGAGACTTTTCTGTTATGCTGAGTTATGAATAACCCGAGTGATCTCAATGCGGTATTGTATGGATTTATAGCGCACTGAGCGGCTAGTTTACAGGGACATGTGTAATGCTGATCATGTAAAGGGGCGCAGAATGGATTGTTTCAGAGAGAAATATTCAGTAAAAATTACGGAACAATTCACGTAATCCGCAATGGGGAATCGTTTTCCGGCAATTTTTGGGGGAATGGAAGAGAAGAAATCTAAATCGTTCAGTGAATTTTCAGATTCATCACCGAACAAAGTACGAAATTGTCGTGTAATTTTTCCCGAAGAAGTTAAATCTTACAGAAACTTGCCGACTTATTGTGCCTCCAAAATAAAAAATTCTTGAACGTTCAACAATTTTTATGAAGCTGGTGAGTTATTTCTACGTTCCGTTCCGTAAAATTTCTCAATCGTCGGGCATTGTCGAGAGAACGAGACTTTTCTGTTATGCTGAGTTATGAATAACCCGAGTGATCTCAATGCGGTATTGTATGGATTTATAGCGCACTGAGCGGCTAGTTTACAGGGACATGTGTAATGCTGATCATGTAAAGGGGCGCAGAATGGATTGTTTCAGAGAGAAATATTCAGTAAAAATTACGGAACAATTCACGTAATCCGGAATGGGGAATCGTTTTCCGGCAATTTTTGGGGGAATGGTAGAGAAGAAATCTGAAACGTTCAGTGAATTTTCAGATTCATCACCGAACAAAGTACGAAATTGTCGTGTAATTTTTCCCGAAGAAGTTAAATCTTACAGAAACTTGCCGACTTATTGTGCCTCCAAAATAAAAAATTCTTGAACGTTCAATAATTTTTATGAAGCTGGTGAGTTATTTCTACGTTCCGTTCCGTAAAATTTCTCAATCGTTGGGGAAAAATTACGGAACGACTTGTCCCCACAGCGGTGAGTCATCAGGCGGGTGGTCAATTTTTACGGAACAAATCGTAGAATTTACGTCGCGATTAGTACAATTTCAGCTCCGACTCACACTTTTTATTGAATTTTACTTCGCTCGCGTGAAATTTGAATTTGAAATGGACGAGTAAATTAATTTTAAATAAATGTTTGAGTGGAACAGATTTACTTGAGACGAGGAAATTTAACATTAATTATCAATTAATTTAATATTTACTAGATTAAACTCAATATGTATTTTCAATGAAAATTTCTGTTTTTATTTCACTTCCCCAAAAAAACTTCATACTTTTCAAATTGACGAATAAAAATGAGTCTGAAAAATCACGACGCAATCTTCCATTCTTTGCCAAAAAAGCATTAAATAACAAATTGCAAATGATTTCTCAGTACAAAAACAATATTCTTGATTTGAAAATAATTTCCGCTCCCCTCATCTCTTCAAGCCACCAATTTAAAAAATAATTCTTCCCTCCATATCATAATCAGCAATCAGATGATCCAAATATGAATGTTACGATGAGAATCATGCTACCGACGTTTTACACCCAGTAATTTATTCAGTGCGAATTTACGACGGCTGTCTCATTATATGGTGGATCGGCAATTACGCATTGCACTGCTAGCCCCTGGCTGAAATTCCCAGAGGCAACCAATTATCGTACCGTCGATTCATCCATCTTCCCTTCCTTTTATGTCTCTTAAAATCGCGAGTTGCCCACTGACCATTTTTATTTTATAATCATGAGAATTGTTCCGGATTTTTGCGAATCGCCATTCTCCGAGGGCTTTCAAAACCCCCTGTGTTCCATAAAAACGAAATGAAAAAAAAAATGGGAGAATGACGGGAGTAATGATAATTATTGCTTGCGTCATGCAGCCAACATCGGGAATTGTAAAGCATGACCGGATGCAATAAAGCTGTTAAAATTTCTTGCAACTGGTTATTTGAGTCAGAGAGGATTTTATTCGGATGAATTACCTGAAATGTGTGAGTTCTCTTGGGTATTATGAATTGAGTGGCTTTTTTTTCATTGAATATAACATATTATGAGTCATTGAGCAATTGTAAAAATTTTTTTCTCTCAATAATTTCGTACAGGTGATCTCTTTTGAGTTGACTTTTAGTGAGAAATTATTTTTTGTCGATTTTTATTGTGTTCATTTTCATTGGGCGCTTCATATTATTTTGTACAATTCAATTATATTTCTTCTTTGATCAATTGTGTTGGATTTCTCGTGAAACATCGATAAAATGGCATTGGAAATTTTTTTTATGCATAATAAAATGAATTTAAAACATTATGTTCATTATGTCCATTTTGAAAATAACTGAAACCTCTAAAAATTAGTATATGAATTAAATTTTAATTAATCTCGATGGACAGGCCCCAGGCATACCCACAGAGGGCTGATATAACCCAAAAAATCCAAAACTTGAAAAATAAAAAAAAATAAAAAATAAAATTAAAAAAAGAAACAAAAAAATTGGAATTTCTTGAAACACCTCAGGCTCCAGCGAAACATATTTTCTCCGAATAAGTGGTCTCCAGAGCTCCAACGTCTCAAAAAATCACGGAAGTTATTCATTAAAACGCCACGTGTGTACGAATAATTCAAAGAGAAATGTCTTGTCCTGACGTGAGAAACGATACTCATCCATACATGATCCAGCCCCCGGTGTGCACCGTACAAACTACGACACACCTCCCCGCAGATTCGCCCGTAGGGGTGACAAAGTCAGCGGGTGTCTGTGGAGCCGTACAATGCGGGATGCGTGAAGCATCAGACATTAGTCCAGATTGTGAACACGTTCATCAAAGGAATAAGGAAGAGTGTAATAAAGAATCTCCCCGCGGGAGTCGGAGAAGTTTCCTCGATCTTGCCTGGATGATGTCATTGTCAGGCGCCTCTGGACATTTGACAATGGAGAAATTGCGAGGGAGTCGTAACGAGGCTGTCTTTTTCATGCCCCCGGGGCTCCTTGTGGTGCCCTGGTTACAATGGAGCTCGCCCGAGAGCTCCTCACAAAGATGTCCCCAGTGACAAAAATATTTAACAACAATCGCCGTTGTCCTAGGACAGCTTTTGTCGTGGGCAGAGGTTACGGGGAAGTGATCTCTTGGAAATATTTCGTCCCAATGGCGGATTGTCTGGAGATGGTCCCCGGGGATTGAGGTTAACCTCTCCGAGGATGTGAAGTCTTCACTAAGACACGGGAGATTTTAATGCGAGTTTGTCAATTTTTTAAATGAATTACGAGATAAATTCCAGCGCTGGCCGCAGAAAATATCTGGGGTTCACTCATAATGCAATAGATTAATTTCAAGAATTTAGGGCTTCATTTGAGCCCCATCTGACCCTAAACTTCCGAATATTTCGCTATGATTTTGTTATTTAAATTTTGCAGGTCTGAATTTGAATCTCGATATTGAACCGTTGGAAAACGTTTTGAAAATGGAAAAATAAAATTAGAAAGTTTACTTTTGGAGGAAGATTGATGAAATAATTAAAAAATTGCAATTTTTGAAAATTACAGTAGCGAAGTGGTAAAACGTTTTCAGTCGATTCATCTCCCAGTTGAGTTTTTGAGGAATATTTCCGAATCCAAGGGAGATAGCGAAATTTTCGTAATGACATTTGTTGTAGCTCTCAATTGGCTCTACGAAAAAGGTTATATAAAAAATTTTGCCATCTCCCTTAGATTCCGAGATATTTATTGAAAACTGGCCGATAGTCAAAATTGACCTGATAAAAATGAGATTTCCGACAGTTTAAACAATTTCAATTATTTATTTATAAACA